AAACCGAAATTTCTAAGGCTATGAAGTGTAACCGCCCATAAATCGAAATCGTAATTCTCTCCATTACCATTCAATAGCGGGAGGAGAGAAAAAAAATTAATCCGAAAAGAGCGCTCCGTTTCTCATAAAACTTTGCCGTTTCTGTGACGTTAAGTGAAATAGCGGGATGGAGATGGTAAAATTAATCGCACCTTGTCTGAATGTAAGATGAAGTGAAAAAAGACAATTTCGATAGCTGTTACGCATTAAAATAAATTGTTAAAGTTGAAATAATATTATTCCAATTAAGCAATTTCTTAAAGCTTTACTCTCAAATAATTTTCAAAAAATTCTTTAATAATATTTAATTTCTTTCATTTCCTCAAAATGTATATGTATATATAATTAAATCATTATATAATAATAATAATTTAATTTGAGATTTGCAAAAGGAAAATAGAAAAGAAAAGAGATAAAAAAATATTAACTTCTTAAAATGTATATCGTATGCAATACCTATAACATTTTTATTGCGCGTATCTAAAATAAACGTGTAACGGTAACTTACAATTAGAAGCTGAGTAAAATGTATTCAAATGTTTTCCGATTTCACAAATAATTTAAAATTTTTAATTTATTTACTTGTAACATGATTTAAATAAATCTGCATCTTTATCTCTTTCGTCGTATATTTCAAAATGTTATTGCAATGAAATTAATTGAGACATTAGCACATAAAGATGTATATTATGAAAAATATAATGTATCCTAGGCACATTAAAAATTCACATGATTTAAAGTCTCGCATCTATAATAAAAATGCTCAGATGGGATAGTCAGACACTGTTCGAAAGGGCGAAATTGAAGGACGAGTAGTAAAGGAGTAACTCTGCAAGAACTCGCCACTGTGTCCTCTCAAGATAACCGGTACATCGGCCAGAAATACCTATAGGTATATAATACCCAAGCCGTAAACGAACTTTTTATTCTTTCTCTGAGAGAGAGTAATGCTCTGAAATGTACCGTTACATCGGCGAACTGCCGAAGGGTCCGAAGAGGGCCGGCAGACATTTCACGGATCGTTCAAACCTTCAAGGTACAAGGAAGAGGATGCGAGAGAGAATTAAAGTGTTACATGGTCTCTACTTATATCACGTTGATTCGTTACACGCCTGTTATTCAGTTAATCTTCCGTAATAACGTTCGTCGTTATATAATTTATCGAAATATCGATAGCTGATATCAGACATCTAAATTGATTTTTTTTTCATCGTTTTGTGAATGTCATATTGCGTTAATTGTAAACTAATTTCAGAATAAAAATCTGTTCTAACAAAAATATTCATTATTCTACTTTTATATTATTTACATACATAAATAATATACGTATATTCTAAAAAAGATTTAGTTTTTCATACAAAAACAACAATGTGATTTGTTTTTCAACAAGCTATAACTATTTGTTCAAGCAAAATTGGATCAAGGAATAAACTAATTATAATTAGCAACAAAACAGTCGCAAACTTCCGCTGAAATATAATCGTCCAAAGCAAATTTCGCGAATACGACCAACACGAAAGGATTGCATTGCTAGAACTACTCTGGGGAACGTTATGACAGAATAGCACAATTAGGTCAGAATATACAGTCAGGAAGGTAGCCGGTTGAGGTTAAGTGACACGATGCAATAGTATTTAGCTATACACACATACAATAGTGGTGGCTTTGAAGGGACCGTCCTAGAAACGATGATGGAGCAAACAAAGGAGGCACGTGCCGCAATGTGTAACTGGTAGACATGATGTCTCGTGAGATTTGCGTAATAATTTCAACAATGTATCAGCTCACGAATATATAATTTTCTCAACCAAAATTAAGACAAATACCAATTTCATTATTAAATATTTTGTTAAATAGATCTGAGAGAGAGAGAAATTAAGTTTTTATTTAAAATTATATCTGTATAATAAAATTCTGGATTCAAAGCTCTTAATATTCATCAAAACATAATAATTATTAAATAAAATAATACTGTTGTACTTTGTGGTATAAGTTTCAACAAGAGAAAGATTATGTAAATCAAAAGCTTGAGACAAATGTCAGAACATTGTGCAACAATACGTGTCTTTCGTTACTTATTGTTAGTTTATAAAAGAACAAGCATATCACATGGATTATAGAAGTTAGAATTGAAACTGAAAGATTATACTTTGTTCTCCAATTTCTCTAGTACTTTGCAAAATAAATTATAATTTGCGAGCGGAATTATACAAACAACACTTATGTCGCGCCGCATAGCTTCACATTCATTGTTCCCTCTGTTATTCACAAATACATGTAACAAATACTAATGCAATTAGTGCGATGTTAACGCAAAAAAAAGATAACTTCAAATTTGCATAAATATTTCTCATTAATGTAAGAGTTCTTATATGTATAAAATTGCTTTTAACAGCAATGAAAAAAATTAAAAATTTAAAATATTTTATGTATTCGTTTTTCATCATTTAATGATGAATTAAAAACAAGTTTGTCGAAAGTATTAAATACGCAAAATTTTATTTTTACACTAAGCTTTCTTTCCTTTATATTTTTTTGTCAAATTCCGCTTTGAAATGTAACTATATGTAATGTCCTTTAAACAGCGATTAATATTCTAGAAGAATATTTGACTAGAAGGACCATCTAAACATAATTCATATAGAAGACGTGCCAAATTTATAATATGTGTGCAAAAGTTCCCATGAAGTATATGCCGGGAATATATTTCTCTCGATTGGATAATTTTAATAACGCCAATTTATAGTAGTTACTTTATAGTTATTTTAACGAGCAAACGACTATGCGCAGCTTCGATATCGGTAAACTCTTAATGTAATAAATTTTGAAGGATGAACCTAATGCGCGATTCTATGAACAATGAATAAAACATATTGGATAATGGCAAATTACATTCTCTATCTTTATATTTTAAATTTATATCTTTAAATTTCCAATTGCATTGAAATGCGCTCTAACAATAAAACTTACAAATGTAAAAACCTCAAAGTGAATTATAAAAGATAAATAATTAGTAACACAATGCCGCTTTCAAAAATTATATTTTTTAAATATTTTTATAAATATTATTTTAATTTAATGTAATAGCATATTATTGCATCTTTAATATACTATTATATTATAAAATGTATATCCAATTTACTCAAATGCTTAAACTCTCTAATTATACAATACTTCAAAAAAGTCAATTTATACTACTTTTACTATTTTAAAATAAAATTATATACTTTTTCCGTTTGTTTATTTCAATTTAAATATAATATTCTGTTATTCTATGAAAGAAAAAATTAGTGGCTTTATAAAATTATTTTGTATCGCGCGACGATTTACAAAAAATCTATTTAATATTATGTACAAAGTTTTATATAATTTAAATATTATATGTGCGTGAAAGTTATAAATACTTTTACACGTAAAATTTCGTGCACAATCTGGCACAAAAAAACCCAATATTTAATGGTAAAACATCAATCGTAATAATACAAACATGTGATCATAAAGATAAAATTAAAAAGATGTGACGATATCAATAGAATTCTGAAGCGGAATTACTGAATTAAACCATAAAATTTATAACCATTTTAACGTGTAAATATCGCAAGCAAGTGACGTGCAAATATCGCAAAATAAATGATATTTTAGCACGATTTTATATGTTCGAGAAACAAATAAATGTTTACAGTTTTCTTATTAACAGATAAAAAATACTTACTTTGTCTTCAACTTTACTTAATGATGAAATGCTATATGAGATGATAACAAAATGATTCATATAAATAAAAATTTTTCTGATTGATATAAAGATATTTACGAATATTACGCGAAATATATAATAACAATATTACATATAATAAATCTATTAATAATATATATATAAATCTATTAATAATAGATATGTATAAATCAAAATTAATAATAGATATATAGATCTATTAATAATAGATATATAGATCTATTAATAATAGATATATAATGATTAAATCATAAATATATAAAGTACATAATAATATTAAATTCAATTCATATTGATGCTACACAACGAAATTATTTGATAACAGCAATCAATTCGTGGCAAATTTTAATGCATGTTGAGTATTGCATTTTAGATAATTAAAACTACAAATATTTTAAAGATGCTTAGACACTTTGCTACAGCAAATAGCTAATTAAAGAATTTTGATGCATATTATAAAACGGAATATGTACTTGTACGCAACATGTGAAATTAATTGGAATATAAAATCTATGATAAATAATATTTAAAAGAAGATAATTGACTTCTTCATTACAATTTACATATTTTCCTTTACAATCTCACTCATAATAAAGTTTACGTTCTCAATATCTTGATTTGTACTCCCTCGAGTAAGTTCTTCATTAAGTAATCGAAAGACAAGGAACAAGAAAAAATGAAGAGTTTCGTAGAACGAAAACTTAACTCATTAATACTAAGCGGCTGAATTAATGCCTGGGCAATCTAATTAATTTGCAAAGCTTTTATCTAAAATATTTGAATCCAAAAGTTACGAAATGAAAGAAAAACATCGTATATACTTCGTAAAAAATATACAATTACAATTTAAAAAGTTTATCTTCATTTTTAAATATTTTTAAATGTTTGAAATTTATTTCGTAAGATTTTTAATGAAATTATTTAACGCGTTTTTAATATCGCAAAACTATTCTTTATAACTTTTCTTTTTATATATATCTCACTCTCGTCAATATTGGAGCACAGAATGTTTTTAATTTGACCATTTCTGCGTTAAAAAATATAAAAATACGTTTTTTCATATGCGTGTTTTTTATAACATTAAAATACATTCAAAGATTAGGTATCAGTTTCGAAAAAAAATCATTACAAATGTTTCTGTGAGGCATATATTTGCATTTCAGGCACTCGTTTAATGCCATCCCAGCTCATCGGAATATTAATAGACCGAAAGTAATTAATGACTTACCCTGTGTGGCGCCTGAAGAAGCCGATGCACGGCAGCGAGCTGGTTGATTAGCGGCAAGGTCGCGCTGAAGGTGTGATCGGGAGGATTAACTGGATAAAGGGTTGGATAACTGAATGGATCGACGTCGTTGAGATATTGCACTTGACATGTGAAGAACATCTGGCGATACATTTCTTCCCGCCAGCGGGACCGGCCAAAACTTTCGCAATTCTTCGTTCCGAAAAAAGGTGACAAGATCCACTACCCCACCCCAACTCCCTGTCACGTGCGCACAAAAATTGTGTGCGCACGCCGTCACACACTCACGCAATGCGCTTTGACGTATTCGGCCGATTTATTTCGATCCGGCGGCTGAAATGAAATAAAAATATTCCTTAACTTCCTGTTTTCTATTCGCTGCTAATTACGCTCGCCCTTAGTCCTCGCTGATGAGATCTCAAAATGCATCAATATATGAATGACAAATTACTCAAAACCTAAACATAATTCGAGATTCTTTCATAATTTTGTTTTAACATTGAAATATTTTTTTATATATTTGAAAAATATATTTAATATATATTATATGTAAAAATATATTCATAGAATATACATATATATATTTTTATATATATGTTTCACGATTTATTTTATCAGAACAGAGTTTCTTTCTGACAAAAACTGAATAATTCATAAATTATTAGCCGAGAAAATATTGTTCATAAATCACAAAAAATGTCTACAGGTTGAAAACTTCTTAATTGAAATTCAGATAAAGCACAACCGCAGCGTAAATATTTAACCACAGCGTGTTCGAACTTTTCAGTGTCGTTTTTATTATTCTATCCGATATTATATTTTCCTCAATAAAGATCTAGATAACTTGAGACAACTTGCGTATATTTATCGAACTGTAGATCTGTCTATCTACTTGTTTTCATTTTCCGAACAATCTGCCAATCATAAAAGATTTTTCAGCACACGTAGGAATCGCGACAGAGAGAATACGTATTAAGTACCCGTGAAAGTGGCAATGTTAGAATCATAATAATCTAGGACTGCAATTATCATCGTTAATGCAATCGGTAACCACTTCGTTTTCAGACGGTCATTGACCTTCAAGTTTCCTTTCACTCGCTTATCGATTTATTAAGTCAAAGCAAAATCAACGAAAATGTTCTCATCTGTTTGAGATTTTCATATTTAAAAAATTGAAAATTTATTATACGTTTTTGGATATTTTTTTATTTAAAAAATATATAAAGTTTTATATCAGTTAATCGTTATATTAACTTCTTTCCTTTACATTCAAGCTTGCAAATAAATTTTTCAATAATTAGATTTTTCACAATAATTTAAGAATTATAAATAAGCTTTCTTTCTTCTTCTCTCTCCTAAAATTAAAAAAAAATCTGAATTGTTTTTGATCTAGATGATATAAATATATTACAGCTTCGCAAAATTTATAACTATAAAAATTATTTCGATTGCAAGACGATTATCCAAGTATTGGTACCATTCACACATCTGTTAGTAGACCTTATACAAAGTTTGATGTAGTGGAATGTTGTAGCTACTCGATGCAGTAGAAACTTGCTTGTAGTTGATCGAACTTCAAAAATCTAAATCCCCACACTACAATCTTCGCTATAACATGTCGCGATTATACCGGGTTTGCGCGGGAAGAACTTGCAACAACTTATGAAAAAGCGCTTTGCTCTATACCGGTTCTCACATCTTTATGCTATCACGTTACTATGCACCATTTCTAGCATGAAAATGTTACGTTACAAGAAACAGTATTTTTCTTTTATAAACGTACTAAAATAAAGAAAATATTACTATCGACCGCAGGTTTTAGTTAAAGACTACGGTTACCGTTTTATTTTATAAGTCAGTAATAATAAATTTGAAAATAATATGGAAGTATTGTATATGTGTATAAGAATCCTGCTATTTTTTAATCGGATAAAGACTCGATAAAGAGGAGATTGTATAAAAAAATTCAAAGCCAATATCACGATATTTTGTATTCTTTTTAACTGAGCAATAGCAATCGAATTATGCATTCTCGACGCCTATGCACGAATATAATCTTTATTCATGCATCATGGACTCTCTTACATTGTAGACTCGTAAGAAAATCGGCGTCAGGCGCAAAATAAAATTGCGAGCTGTCATTATTAGTACGTGCCGACCTGTCTCGTCATCTCGTCTCTTTGTATTGTTCTTATTCGCAAATGAACCTTCTTTCTCTTCTTCCAACTGAAGAAAGAGATGAAGAAAGGACAGGTAAAGAATGGGCGAGTGTGTGAGAGAAAGAGAAACCCAGGTGGAAACAAAGAAAGAGAAATGAACGAAAAGAGAGAAACATATTGGTAAATGGAAAGAAAGAGAGTAAAGGGGAGATGTCGAGGAGAAGAGGGAGAGTTAGAAGGGAAAACGAGTCTGCGCCATACAAATGTACATGGTTGTGGTCGACGAAAGATTCATGCGATCAAGATGCAATCGCGATGCGAGAGATCGAACTCGCGTGGATTCCCAAACTCGCCTGAATCAACAAATCTGTCTTTCGGAGTGCCACATTATTTTTATGTCGCATTTCCCGATTTTTATATATATAACATTTTATATTTTAATACACATATATATCGCATATTTTAAATATTTTTTATAATGTCGAATGTCTCTAAAAATGATACATAAATTTTTAAACATTTTGTTTTGCAATATATTAAATTTATGATATTTTGATGTTTGGAGCATCTTTAATATATAATTTAATTCTATAATATACAATATAATTCTCTTTTCTAATAGGTATTCCATTATTAAACCGAAAATACAGAAATATTAGTGAACTGCCACTCAAGGCTACAAATCGTTAGAAGAAGATGATAAACGACTTTTCGAGCGAATCCAATAACGTGTCTGTTTCCAAGCGACTTACATCGTCGACGATCACGCGAAAATTTCGCACAAGGCACAGCCGAAGGTGAACGACTGAAAAAAAGCGTGACGGAGCAGTGAACGTGAACCGGACCTATCGCGTCTGTACGTGCTAACTAACTCCGAAATAAATAATATTTTTCAGCGATAGAGCGATTAAACGACAGAATCAGTCGCGAGATGTATAACATTCTACAAAATTACTCCAAACACAAACCAATTATGTAATATTCACGTGAAAATATTTCGATTAGATGAGCCGCGATTATTAATACGTCGCGCGTAATAAAGTCTGAATATATAATAGACAATATTTAACGATATTTCAATATTATTGAGAAACTAAAACATAAAATTGACCGGTTTATTTACAATCTCCATATCTCATTTTGGTCACAAATATAAAGATAATGTATGTATATTAAAATTATTTTTGTTATTGAAATCAGTTTCAGTTTATAAATAAAAAATAAAATATTTGTTTATTATTATTGACGACTTTCCAAACAATAATAATTTATATAAACAATAATATTTCTACGTTCTATTTCGTAGCAAGGAATATCTCTGCTATTGAAAAGTCGATTATGTACATATATATTTCCATCAAATAGGTTATCGATACATGACAACACTGACAAAAATATTTATGAGCATGTGTACTTCGAAGCATGAAATACATGCTTTGTAACGAAAATAAAAGATCATCTATCCAATATCTTTTCAATATATCATCGTATTCTAATTTTACGTTAAGTACATCTCTCGACTTTTGTCAATCTACAAAAAATATTCCTACTTATAAATTCGCATATTAAGTAATTATTTCCATATTATTATTGCTTAATTATTCTTTAAGATATAAGTGACTAATAAGATAGCTGATAGAGTATATTCAATCTCAACAGTATACTGTTATCAATAATTTTTGACAATATAAATTAAAAGAAACATTATTTATATTTACTATTTTATCGTCTCATTGTACGTAATCTTTACACAATTCACATTTTCTTTGTGATAATTGCAGTGCTCCAAAATAGAAAATAACGCATAGATGCGATTTAATTCAAGAAATATCAGTGCGAGTTCCTACGTGCTGCCTTGGATCGTTTATCATTACCGTAATTATCGAGCATGCTTACCGAAAATTATCAAAATATCTACGAGTTCCGTTCGACTTTTATCATTGACGCACAGAGAGATCTCTACAAAGCGGGAACAAAAGGCGGGAAAACGGTCCGCCACCCTGCGGACGCGCGTAATGAAAGCGCGCGTTTCGGAGCAACTTCAGAGCGCGCGGAGTCTGCGCGGAATGGAAGACACTCACCTTTGGCTCGACACGCGCACTTCCGCCGCCGTCTCGATGAATGGGATAACACGCGCACCTCTTCCGCGCGTGGCTGAAAACGCACGTGCTCTCGCGAATCCGCGATACGAGGGAAAACAAACGCGGAAACCGCAGGACGAAGGAGAACGAGACGGACGCGGTGCGAAATGGAGCTGAAGTTGGTGCAACCACGTACGTTTATACGCGACGCGCAACGACACACCCTACCTCGCGCACGGCCACCGCGACACTGAATGCCGCCGCGGACACCTGTCGCCCGCGAACGACGGTGTCGCCGCCACGCGGCGCTACAGTTCCCCTTCCGCCGCACACGCTAGTTTGCGGGCAACCTGAATCGTGCCGGTGTTCAATTTTTCGCAAAAACTGTAAATCGATTTTTATACATTTACATATTTATTTGATATTGTTGAGAACGTATCGTGAATACTACTATTCTAGATTTTTTCGTTCAATGGATTCTCATTCACGATAAGGAGTTTATCAGAGTTATGTAGGAACTATCGTTTGATTATACTACTTGTTAACTTAGATGTTGAATCTTTGTTTTCATATCGTGTACAATGTAAAGAATTCTTTTCAATCCTTATTTTAATTTATTTAAAGAAATATTCATCGTTTATATAGAATGCGCTACACTTCAAAATTGATTTTATAGTTAAATGTTTTATAGTTGATTGTAGAGTTGGAGGAGCTATCGTTTGGTTATACTACTTGCGTTATACTTTAATCTTTTTCTGACATAGATGTTGAATCTTTGTTTTAATATCGTGTACGATGTAAAGAATTCTTTTCAATCCTTGTTTTAATTTATTTAAAGAAATATTCATTGTTTTAGTATAGATTGTGTTATACTTTGAAAGATTCTACAGATAACCAAAGATTTTCAAATTTTATATACATATAATGAACAAATTTAAAACATCTAAATATATAATATAATATATATCTTAATATATATGATATATTTTAAAAAATTTAAGATATTTTTAAATGATTATAATTTTAATTAAGAATTTAGGGGAAAGCTCTCACATAAATGTTGAACAATTTTAGCATGCTGAGAATTATATGTATATCTAAAATTATAATTTTTAAATTTTAACAAACTGGAAAGAGACAAATGCAGATGATAGTCGATTTCGAGGAAAATTAATTTTTCATTGAAACTAATTAGTTATGCACAGAGCACAAATAATTTTTGTTCAATATTAAGTAATTAAAATATAAATCTCATTTTGCGTGAGATTTTTATTTTAATAAATTTCCTCGACCTTCCCTTAAAAAAACATAGACGAGAAAAATATCGAGAGAAATTTATTAAGGGGTAACATCTAGTCCGAAGGCAAAAATCATAGGCTGTTTTTATGAATTTTTGTGACGTTGCTACTGAATCGATCAATGTGAAATTTTCAGGGTTGAATATACTCGTCCTGGGGTGCAAAAATATATTTTTTATTTTCAGTTTTATTACAAAATGGCGGTTCAGCAGCGCGCGACGCCTCACAAAAATTTGACTCTCTTTCCGCGCGCTGCTGAGCCGCCATTTTGTAATAAAACTGAAAATAAAAATATATTTTTGCACCCCAGGACAAGTATATTCAGCTCTGAAAATTTCACATTGATCGATTCAGTAGCAACGTCACAAAAAATTCACAAAAACAACCTATGATTTTTGCCTTTGGACTAGATGTTACCCCTTAAAATAAAATCTTAAATTGAAATTTATTTAATTACTTATTGTCAGTATCGTAACAAAAGGAAAAGTTGTACTCCGTGCATAGCTAATAAGTTTCAATAAAAAATTAATCTTCCTTGAAACTAACGCACTATTATTCACTTCTAGCACTTTTTAGCCTATTAAAATTTAAAATGATAATTTTGAATCTACAAATAATTTTCGTATGTCATAAATATATTCAGAAATTCTAAATTAATTAGATTTTAATAATAAGAGTGTTTAATCGATATATATATATATTTAAGATCGATTATTTAAAAAATTAGTATTGAATGCTATAATTTTTGCAATACTAATTAGTTTGTATATAATATACATATAAAATCTAAAGAATTATAGCATTAATAGTATAATAGTGATGGCTAAAATAAGAATAAGAAACGATTCAAAAAGTTACAAAGAATAATAATCTACCGAAGAGAAAGCAAACAAAGAGTAACTGAAATGACAATATCGTGCTGTAAAAAAATCAACATCCAACGCAATATATGACATGAAACCATAAGCGCGACTATACGTATTGTCGACGGCGTACTACAAACGAGTTCCCATAGGAGGGCTCAAATAGCACAAAAGGGGTTGCTGAGCCCATAGAAACGTGATGGAGGGTTCATTGTGAAGGAAGAGAGAGATACTAAAGCTGCCAACTCATGATATAGCGGCAATATATAAGTGACTTTTGCATAACGATCGAGCAGAGTGATAAACTAATTACGAATCTTTTTGTTTTACTAAATTGCATTTGCATTGCAATATAAATTGTAAATTAACCGCAAATTAAAATGTATATATAAATGTGCATATCTGAATTTATAGTTAATTTATATTTTCTATTTATAAAAATTTTAATATATATATTTCTATCTAATAAAGATTCAGATCATATAATAAAGTAGAATATTGTTACGTAATATACGCAGAAGACGTATTATAAAAATTATTTTTAATAGTTTTTTTATCGCACACACACACACACACACAGAAAAATAAAAATTATTTATTTGTTTTATTCTAATAATTCGCATAATTTATAATTCTACTATATATGTAGTAAGACAAGATCTTTGAACTTTAATGAAAATTGCGCCGACGTCACAGTGAGTAATTATGAAGCGAGTCGCAATATACGAAGAACGAAGTATGCACTCAATAAACAAGACTCTATTGTTAATTTTGCTTTGTATGCAACACAAAAAGAAGTGTAGAAGGGTAGCAAGAAGCTCTTTCGTGCATCCCTCGTGAGAAACAATAATGTCGCGCATACCTCTTGATCTCATCCATTCTTTCGTAAGTCTTTGTTAACAGACTTTTTTGGTGTAGTCATGCCGAGCTATCCATCGTCTACGTACGACTATTGACAAGGGTATCATAAGCAAGAATATTGAAATAATAAGTACGAATAAATGCATAATTTTTAAAAAGAAAAGACATAAAAACGCGTGTTCTTGCATCTTTTTGATATGAAACTCGTAAACAAATTTGTTGCATTTTCACAGAGAATTTATTCAAACAATACTTTAACCAAAGTAATAAAAGTTATACTAATAACTTTATTATAAAATTATTATAAAAATATTAATTTAATTACAATATATTCCTTTTGCTTTCGTTTTTGGGGATGCTCATTTTTACAAAAGCTTAAATGCCAAATGAAAAACTAAACAAAATTAATTCAGACATAATGTAAAAAAACAATGTAGTAATTAAAAATGAGTTATTTTTAAACATTCCTTTAGAAAAGCTTACTATTCTTTTTAATTTAATTATTATTACTTATATTATTATTAATTATTATGTTTTATTAGATACAACTTAAAACTTTTAATTATTTGCTTTTTTGAGATGTCTATTTACACCTTTGAAAATTTATGCTGTTATATATTAATTTTTTGATTTATGTTTTCTATTTATATATAGATTTTTCATTAAAAATAATCGAATAAAAGCATTATAAACACATCAACATACAGTGTAAGTTTACACGACAAAACTTACCGGGATGTAGCCATCGGGTTGAATCCTCTTATTGTCTCTAAAAATAGAAAAATATAATCATCATATATCATAATGTACATTATATATGCTGTGTTTATTATAAATTATGTGTAGGTATCAGATGTATATGCAATTTATAAATATCTATTATTGAATTATTATTGCGAAACATACCGATTTCTTCGTTGAATCACCGGTGTTTTTGGCGTGCTGTCATGAATAATTACTTGAGTTGCATCTATTTCTTCACACTCTGAGCTGTTTTCAAAAGAATCTGCAATAACAGAAATACGTTATATTTATTTATTTAAAATATTTCAACAATTTTATATTATTGAACTTATTAAAACATAAATAAATATCAATAAATTTTACTTTATGCATATAAGAATATGAATAGAATTCACACTTCCTGCAGAGATCTTAATTCTCTATACAGATACATTCTCATGTCTTTCATATCAAATTTACTTTTTACTTCATTATTATTTTACATTAATATATATGATGTATCTACATATATGCTTTAATATTATGGTAAAGATCTAAGCCGACCCACTTTGTTGAACACGATTCGGTACATTAGACTGATACAGTGTACGGGTACGATAGCATCGATCGTTAAGTGACACTAAATTCATTCTCACCCTCTTCGACGCGTTCCTGTTTACGAACACGGGAGAGAACAGGACTGTGGCAGAGGGTATTTGTATCACCGAGCACGTCATCGATGTCAGTATGCTGACCAATGAACAATGGTAATGTGGAGGGTCGTTTCCTTGGTGATAATCTTCGAGTTGTCGGCACATTGTCATAAGGTGAGTCTCGTCCATTATAATTGTCTGGCGGGTCAGGTGGATTTTCGACCTGCGACAAAAATAACGAATTCAAACATTTCTGTAATAATTATATACATATATATATGTATATTAATTATATATCATAATTTGAATAAATCTCATTTGGCCTTTTAGTATTTTAATGCATCTCAAAATAGACTGAGAAAAAATTTGTTAACTTGACTAAATCTTTTAATTAAATTACTATTTTCTTAATTGAACATATATTATTATTTAAGTCAAATATACATTTTGGTAGACTAAAATATGTTATATTTAATTTAAATATTTTTAAATGTTCAATTAAGAAAATAATATTTGGTTGAAAGGTATAATCAAGTTAACACATTTTTTTCAGTGTACGAATAAATGCAATAATAAAACATATTTCTATTATAATATGCATCAAAGCTGATAACATTTTTATATTATATTTAATATAATATATGTTATATGTAAGAATAAAAAGTAAAAAATAACTGACACTAATATTTAAAACAATCAGATTCAATAATAAATGTTATATTATTCAAGCAATTTAAATAATTCATCTTTATCAATCATTTTATTTTTAAAGATTAAATTTTAAATTGTCGAAAACAATTACATAAAAATAAAAATCTAGTTTCTAAGTTTTAATTCCGTATGCATTTTAAAATAATTCAATATTCATATTCATAAAATAAAATAAAAAATTGATTTACTCTCTAAATTTCTTGGAGTAGAATTTCACTCTAAGAAATTTAGAGAGTAAATTAATGTTTTACTTTATTTTATAATTAGATTATCTTTTTACTTTTTGTAATTAATTTGCTGCAAATATTGAATTATTTTAAAATGCATACAGAATTAAAATTTAGGCACTAAGAGAATTTTATTTTTATGTAATTGTGTTTCAGACAATTAAAATTTAATAATTAAAAACTAAAAATATTGAAGTAAAATTCTATTCTTTTGAAATGTGGTTCTACTCTTTTAGAGTGAGCGTTTATTCCAAGAAATTTGGAGAGTAAATAAGTTTTATCTTTTATTATCTAATAATATATTATAAATAATATTTCATTAATAATTTAATTATAAAATGTCATAATCCTATCTCTCGCTCTCTCCCTCCCTTTTGTTTGAATTACTTCAATCTTTCACGATCAAAGATTTATGGGATTGCACGAGGCTGTTATCAGAATGATGTATACGCCGAGAGATTACGCGATGAATGCTGCACGATATAACAATTAATTTTACCCCTTCTGGACTCGCGCGATCTCCTAACGGCTCCTCGGATGGTGGTGGCGGAAATTCGATAGGGAATCTAGAGAGGCTTCTCTTCGCGCGCGATTCAGGTTCAGAGTTAACGCCGATATCGATCTTCTCGTAAGACTCGGAGGAGTCGGAAGTGCTGTTGGTTTCCACGGGAATCCTGACGATCCCGTCAGGAATATTCGAGGAACTGTCCATCCACCAAGCCTTCTCCCCAGATTCTATGTGCCGGATCTTCTTAAGCGGCTTTGAAGAGCCGAGACTCCCGTTGTCGGCGAAGTTATCAGGTTTGTCAACACTTTGACTATCGGGAAATGTCGCAGGGATGACCTCAATACCTTCCGGGACGTTCTCGGGATCATCGCTCATCCACCAAGCTCGTTCACCGGACTGCTGGTGCTTGATACGGTTTCGTCGATCGGCTGATCGAAAACTGCTCCGATTAGATCCTCGTCTCGAAACGGGAGATGCCGATGAGGGTGATCTCTTTGTTTCAGCTTCCGCTGAAACGTCATCCAACCACCAGGCCCGTTCTCCCGATTCTTGTCTCCAAAATTTCAGCTTACACTTTCCTGTCAACACGTGCAATAAATCAAATAACAAATATTTTATATTACAAAACTATTAAATTGAAAGATTTAAAAATTTAAACACAATATAGATAAAAATTTAAATATAGTTTGCTTATTTTATATTAAAATAATTATGGTAAACATATATGGTACATATATACTGCAATATTTGGTGACATATGCAAATTTGAGTTTGATAAATGATATTAATATTTAAAAATAAATGCAAGTATATTACAAATATTTAAAAATTAGCATACCATCGTCCGGTAAGGCTGTGCTGATTGTTGTGTCTTGACTGATGTCTTCGTTCCATCGAGCTTTTTCAACTCCCTCTGGAACGTTATCAGAATTTGAATCCAACCACCATGGTTTCTCGTCAGAAGACTGATGCTGAATCCTTGTATGGTTTCTTTTTATTTCGTCATTTCTCTCGGAATTAATATTATTAAAACTAGCTTCTTTTGGCAGATTCTGGCTGATTGATTTTGAGGCTGACAATGACTGTCCCGACTTGTTACAAATTTCGTAGTTCTCTTCATTGGAATCAACCCAACTACCTTTACTTGCATCACCCGAATCTTGACTCCTGTTCTTAAAAAAATTCGTTACTGGTGCTAAAGCTCTCATCAGAAACGACTTGGCCTCTTCTGTTTTTGCAGCGCGATCACTTCTCGATCTTGGACTAGACGGTGGCCTGGGTGGTTTCTCTGTCATCATGGATAGCTCATCAGCCGATGACATTAGCACACTTGTTCTTGATGATCCTGCACTGATCTTACCTCTTTTTTCAAGCGACTTGGGCGATTCCGACGCTCGTTTTCTTCTCCGTTTCGAATTCGACCTGTCTGCATGTTCATCATCATCGTCGCTGCTGGAAGAATTTGCGGAGGTCGACCGGCTACTATTGCTGGAAACAGACATCTTAGATGGCCTCTTTTTTGTTCCGCAGGGTGACTTTGATTCGCCTCTCGATTCCTTCCATTTCATCGAGCCACTCGAACCGCTCCTTCCGAGTGTATGCTTCGATCTTCCTGAAAGAGTCAGCAATTTCGATTGATGATGATCAGACTTCATCGAAGAGTCCGAAGAGACAGTCTGAGGAATGTATTCCGTGGTCGTTTCGGCATTCTTGGAGTTGACGCAGATGGTTCTTTGGCTCTTTTTTCTTCTCGTGCACTTGGAGCGCGAGGAATCGCCGTTCTCCATGTTCAAGGTCGACTTGCGGAAATCTTTGTTCACGTACTTCGTTGCCACGATGGATTTCGATGTGACAGCGGTCGTAGTATCATTTTTCGGCACAGGTGGTTTGCCGCGAGCGTCCGGCGAACCGCCTTGTCGTACATTTACTGATGGCGGAACCAAACCGCCGGATGATTTGCCGGACGAGGGCAGTGTCGTCGTCTTTATTTTTGTACCCTGACTCGTCATTGAATTAGTTGACGATGATTTCGATCTGCCAATTGGCATATTTACAAAGGATCCGTCTGACGAACCATTCCGCGTCATTTGACGCGACATATTCCTGGTCAATCCATTCCGGGACTGTGGTGTCGAACGACTTTGTGAAGAACCACTTTTAATACAAAAAAACACTAATTACGACATAATATCTCTTGCGAATTTAGAATCAAATGTTTTCATTTAAATTTCAAGATCTCTTTTTCTAATGTTTTTTAGGGGAAAATATATGATAAAATTATAGAATTTGTGAATTTTTTAATATATAATTTGGATTAAAAATTTTTGTGTGAATATAATTTTTAAAAATTGATGGAGAGAAATGATATTCTTTTTATTTATGCTTGTAAAAAGTCTAAAAATTTAAATTTTTAACAATTAATTTTCATAATATCGCGACATTAAAATAAACATTAGTTTAATTAAAATTTAAATAAACATATATGAAAATGATTAAATGCACGTATATATACACATAAAATACATATATTAACATAATTTTTATATACAATTCTTCTCTATTACTTGTATTATAATGTTGAGTATTGCGAAAACTATACTATTGTAAAATTGTCAAAATTAGTTAAAAATTTGTTATATAAATTTGACATAAAACATGCAATTAATCTTTTAATCGTATATTTATTATACACATTACGATAAAAGTTAGGAGTATAATTTCATAGAGATAAATGCATAGATAATATAAAAGAAATATTTGTTTTTTATATATAATTATTTATAATAAATTATATAAATAAATATATTTCATTAATAAAAGAATAACATACCTCAATGTAGAATCTTTTCTCTGCGAAGTATCACGCTTTTCAGAAATAACTTCTTCACTTTGATTTTGACAATGTCCTTCAACAATTCGAAGAGGTTCCTCGTTCTTCGAAGAAGAACTGGCATCAGATTTTGGAGTGGATCCTCTCCTTTCACAATATCCTTCTCGTTTCGGTGATATTATTTCAGGCTTTGAAGAACATTTGGAAATTTTTACCTCGCTCTTTGGCGAACTACGTCCAACTCGCGAAATAGAAGATTTTCTTTGATTACATTCATCACACCTCGAGGTAGAACTTTGTCTGTTATTCCAATCTTCACGACTATCATTGCTTTCCTGGGTATTCTCCACTGAATTATCTTTGCGGTGAAATGCAACATTCTGGTTGAAAATTCTGGAGCTATCAGGATTCCCGCCCATTTCAGTTTTCCGTTCTTCGCAGGAACTCTGTTTGCTATCTCGAATTCTACTTTCACTTATTTCTTTATTCGTGGCATGAATATTTTGCGCGCTCGACGATTCGTTTGCATCATTGGACGTTGAATTTTCATTGCTAGTCATGTATTTGAAGCCGCTAGAAACTTTCTCGTTTTGATTTCTGTTGTTGAAACTATGAGTTTCTTGACTAGAATTCGACGATTCCTTGGCAGTAGACTCATTTCTCGCGTTAGTCTGAGCTTCGTTCGTTCTCGCGTATGCGAAGCTATTGAATCTACCACTGGCAGAGCTTGCATTGGCGAATCCTCTGGAAGAATACATAGATGGGCCTCCAACTGACGTTGCGTTCGACGAATACTTATCCAGGTACGTTGACCAGGGTGAACCGGACACTCTATTGTTTCCATACCTCGAGAATCTCGATGTTTCTTCAATTCGTTCGCACTGGGTCTCTTCGTCCATGGTATCCGGCAATTTTCGAGATCTGGCCACTTCTTTCTGATGAACGATACCGATTTCCGCCCGTCTGTTTCTGACGTAGGATGAAGAAGCTGGTGGTGTCGGTGAAGTACTTCTGGTTACCATCGTCACAAATTCGCTGTCAGAAAGTCTATTGTTGATCTCGTCGTCTTCCATTCGATTTGAAGCTTTATACGTTTTATTGTGATTATCGTCTTTGTCGGGCATATTAGCGAGCTTGGTTTCTTCTTCGTCTTTTTGATTAATAGACTTACTATTCGTATTTCGGAATCTGTCCGCCGCAGAATAATTTATGGCCGTGGACGCTTGTTCGTTGTTTCGCGATGAGAGAAATCGTGAACCAGCTGTCGAGCCAAATCTCGTTGAAATTGTAGTCGAGCTTGATTCGGACGTAGCTGAAAGATCAAATTTTAAATTCATTATTTCACGCCAGTTTCAAAGACTTATCTATGAAAAAAATCAGAATATTTATTGCCGTACAATTTTTGATAGTTGTAAAACTCATTGCCAATTCAATAAAAAAAATTTTCGAGTTTTTAAAATTTTATTTTTCAAAGTGTCTTTTCTTCAAATATTTAAATTAAAAAAATGAAGAATCTGAATAAATCTGTAAAGCTGCGTAATAATAATTAAATTATAAATTTAATGATATACTTTTCATATCTTTTGTGATTTATAATGTATAATATCTATTTAAAAAATTGCACTCACTGGGCGAAACAGCTGAGCGACTATAAGATGACGCTCTTGAATAAATCCTGTAGGAATTAGTTTTTTGACACCGATTTCCGGACTGGGTTCGCGTGATGATTTTCCGGAATTGGGACGTAATCCTCTGTAGGAGACTGGCGGGTGGTCCTTCTTTTCGATTCTACCGTCGTTGCCATAACTTCGTACGAAATTCGATCCAGGATATGTGCCGGATCCGTACCGTGATATTCCTTCCGGCTCTCTGCTTTTTCCGCGCGAAGCCGGTCGATTATATCTGTCCAACACGGAAGACGGCTTTTCCGATGTTTTGCCAGCTGAAAACGAGTACTTTTCGAAGAGAGACGACCTACTGTTAGACAACGAGCTCTTCGCGCTCACGTCTTCAGACGACGATCTTCCGGAATGCAATCGACCTTTGTCAGTATCTTTGGTATCTGCGAAAAATTTGAAGATAATTATTTTGATATTTATATTTATTTGAAGATATAAATTATACACATACAAATATATTTTATTTCGATCTTCATCTATGGAAGATTAAGAGAATTATTATATGTATATGTATTGTATTAATTTGTATTTAAAAGTATTTTTCATCGATAATATACTTTTAAATACTTTATATATATATATAATAATTCTTTTAAATTATATAAATAATTAAAAAATTCTCAATACAAATTATTGAAAAAAATGAATATCTTACATGAATATTTAAATGTATTTTTCTCCTCAAATTTATCCTTTTTAAGAAAGGGACTTCCAAAACCAAACGCTCGTTCCTTATTGGCAACTCGAGTAGAATTTGACGTAATTCCGGAATAGCTGCTTCTACAGCTTGGCATGTTTCCGCCGGAAGTATTCCTACCGAACGTGTTAGCGATACCGACGCCGGTTTTGCTCCGATATGCTCCCGCATCGCCCTGCAATTGCAAATAGCAAAAATATAATGCACCGATTGTTCTAGTCTTATATATATTGAAATTGTATAGAGATATCAATTTAGAATTAAATTACTATATAATTATAATTAATATGAAATTTAAAATTAACTACAATTATATATAATTTAATTCTAAATTATAATTATTATTATAATCATTAAGAATTCTTATTTAGATAATAGTTATCTTTATTGAAACGCGTTGAGAATAATAAAATTAAATTTAATAATTAGATAATATTAAAATATAATATATTTTATAGATATAAAATATATATACATTTTATAAATATACATATATATGTATACACATAAATTCTTATTTATTCTATACATAATATAATTATAAATATAGATATAATAATTCATTTTCAAACAGCAACAATAATTTTCAAACAAAAACAAATTGTTGGTAAAATATATTTTCTTTAGTATAAATCATATATTAATATTTGTTAATCTGTTACGTTGACAAGATTCATCAACGGCTTCTTGCATTTATTTACGGTAACAAGAAAGGGCCGGACGTTAAGCCAATAAGGTACTTACAAGAAATTAGATTGTGGATGTCCTAGGATATTAATGATACTGAGGAAAATACGGATAATGCATAGTTTGCATATTACTGAGAAGACGCTTCTAATGAACGTTTTCAACCAAACTTTTTGCTCGATAAATAAATATAAATCTAACAATAAGTATAGCTATTATTTAACTACTATAGTTACAAAATTATAGCTACATAAATTCCGGTATATTTAAAACATAAAACCATTCTACAACTTTAGACATAATGATGATTTATATATAATTGCGACACTAATATAGATTATACAAATATTTAAAAAGACATTTTAATTATTAATAATTATATATTTAATAATATATAAATAAGCATATAAAAATAAAATATTCAAACACTGCTATCATAAAATTATCGTATCTATTTAAAATCTAATTTTATGTAAAATCAAATAAATTTATAGACGCAAAACTGATTTAACTTAATTACTAAGAGTTCACAGTCGAATTATGAATATATATAATTTTATATTCTCCATTAATAGTTTTTTCTCGTTAAAATACTTTAGTTTGATCATAAATAAAATGAAAAGATAGAAGACGAAGGAAATCAAATGAGTGGTAAACTATTTCCGTGAAGTCTAAAACAGACCAATTCGCGTCATCTGCGAGTGTGCAAAAACGAAAAACGATAATCCGTATAATTAACATAAGTTTGGCGAAATGCCCTAATCTCGAAATAAACGTATTAACCTGGCCTGGGAGTAATAACCTTAGCATTTCTCACTGATACAACGGGTGGCACAAATAAGAATTTGTTTTTTCGACAGCTCTTGAAAAATAAGACTCTTTTTTTCTATTATAAGCAATAATTATAAACAATATCAAAATGTAGAATTTTTGCTGCCTATTTTTTTATTAATTTGAAAATAATGTAAAGTTGCAATAATACACTCACAGAAACACCTATTTCAGTTTATTTTCCCTGTTGCGACATTTATAAAAAATGTCGTTTATTATTATGCTAATGCTATTCAATGCGATAATAGAATTACAATAGTCGTTTTCCTTAAGACCGTCAAAGCATTTCCTCCGAGCGAAAACACTGCGCTACGTTGAAGACGATAAATCCTTTTATCGCGTTATATTCCCATTATCACATCTGCGCCGAATTAAACTAGATTTAAACTAGAAAGAGATGATGTTTAATAATGTATTTCTTTTTTTCAACAAAAATTTCATTGTCAATGATATATCGAGCAAATTTCTTTTCAATATAAATTACATTTAAAAACAATAATAATTATATAAAACGTACAGAACACATATATTTTATAAAAATAATTAAAATTAATAATATATAAATTTTCTCTAAATATTTTTTGCCAAATGCAAATTTACTAATTGAAATATCGATTTGTGATAATCACAAAATTATTTTTTTTTTTTTTACAATTTCTGTGTTCAGAAAATTATGACCAATTTATTCTGACTCATCCATAGCTTGAGTTAATGTTATACAATGAAAGTATCTTTACTCTAAATTTTCTATAAACAAAGAAAAATAAAATTATATATCAAGTTTGCTAGAAAGCTACTTGTCCTTTCACGAAAGAATTCGCAAGAGAACTCTTCGAACTCAAATAATGAAGGACTCTTACAATATAACATGAAAAATGTAGCTTTCAAATGGAGTGATCTTATCTTGAGACTCCTTAATCCCCCCTTCTTAATATCTTTTTAAAATAGTAGAAAAGAGAAGAAACTCCAATGCTTTCTTTGTGATTGGTGATTTTCTTATGTAGCAGAAAGAATAAAATAAAAAGAGAAAGAAAAAAAATTAAAAAGAAGAAATTGATAAGTAAAAATTATTAATTTGACTAAACTTTTCAATTAAATTACTATTTTATTAATTAAACATATATTAGTACTTAAGTCAAATACATATATATATTTTGTTATATTTAATTTAAATATTATCATATATTTAATTATAACAAAATAATATTTAATTGAAAGCTAGTCAAGTTAATCAATTTTTTTCAGTGTAATCTTTGCAAATTGTTTTTGAGCGTATTACGATTGATCTATATTTAATATCAATTGGTGATTTATCGATGCATTGATTTGCTAATCCGTCAGCATCCTTCGACAAAAATAAGTCTTCAATATCATTTTTTATTGCGATATCTTGTCGCATTGAAAGCAATATTGTATCGGACGAATCTCCCAACACGCTGATTTATATCACTTGTAAAAATAGTTGTTTACGACGCTTGTTTCGTCGTCAAAAATTACCATAAGTTATTGGATTCATCGCTCTATTTCCGTCGCGAAAGCAATCGGCCTCGTTACGCGGGTTTTCCGCCAATCTCTTTTTTTTATTCTTTACAAGATGTACACGAAGCAGCATAGAACGCCTTCATATAGACTTTCCCTCTTATCTCTATCGATGAGATTGAGAATGGTCGCGAGAAAATGTTGCAAACGTGCACGGCTTTCTATCTCCACTACGGTTTCTTATTTTTATAACAACTCACGAAGGGCACACAACTTGTACATACGTTGCTTTTAAGACATCTGTTGTTACACAACAAGACAATACTGTAAATATACATTCAATATACTGTTATCGCACGAAGTACAAATATCTATCTTCCGCAGTCGATTTTTTATCCTAAAAGAGCTTTTTTATAGAAATTTTCAATAATTTTAATTTAGATACCTTTTAATAAAAATTATTGCATCTCTTTTGTTTAAAAAAATGTTATAAAGTATGAATATGCTTTCACACAAATTAATCGACTTTTTATCTTAAAAGAGCTTTTTTATAGAAACTTTCCATAATTTTAATTTAAATACCTTTTAATAAAAATTATTGCATCTCTTTTGTTCGAAAAAATGTTATAAAATATGAAAGAATATGCTTTCATACAAATACTCTATCCGCTTTAAGGATAGATTTTTTAAATGGAAGAATTTTAGCTGGAGTGTCAAATACGCCGGTATTAAAACCCTGACAATGCATTTTATACACAAACTTATAGTGTTTGCACAATAACAAACGCTCCGTGTTGCAAACTCTATGTTTGACTGTGCGATCTATGCGTGCAGAAATACACATGACAGAATATGCGTCTGCATTCGGCTCGGAAATTTGCGAGTTTACATGAATACGAGAGAGAACGTAAAAAAGGACGGCTTGTAGCCATCGATAAACCCAACGCAATATCGTATCATTGCATACAAACGCGCGAATACGCTCTATTGCATATCACATGGAATATATAAAAGTAACAATGTCACTATGCGTTGATATTTGCCTTTATTTATATTCGAATATGCGAATATTTATCGTTAAATCATTAATATTCCCGCGCATCATATCTTCATAAGTCTCGATTTTCGAAAATTGTATCAAAACATATTTATGAACTGTTAAATAATGAAAGGTATCACGCATTTTTCATTCTATATTTGAAAAAATTTTAATTATATGATGCTTTTATATAGAATAGAAAAATAGTTTTGCCGTTAATGCACGTTTTCAAATATATTCTCCTTTCTATAAAATAAATATTTTTTGTTAGTATAAAAAAAAGTGGTAAAGTCCTCTTCCCGTTTTCAAAATACATATAAAATATTAGATTATTTGAAGATATAACTAATTATGCTTTCCATCTTGATTGAACATTTTAGTTGATTATTACGCTTAATAATAATTTTAGAAATTAATAGTTTAAAAAATAATTGTGTATTTAATAAAATTGTCCCGGAATATAATATACATATATATATATATATATATATATATATATATATATATATATATTATATGAATTATAAATATTGTAAGCTTTCCTTTTCCGTATGACTTAGCATGTTATCGCTTCAAATGCTTCACTTGTTTGAAAGAAATATTCAAGCTCACGACATATGTAGAGAGAAAAAGACTGAAACGTTTTATTCGTGATGATGCGGTACATTCTCAATGACACTGATGAGGATGTGGGCGATGCATCGTGATATCAGCTTGAGGGGAGGCCAGATAATTGAAGAATGTCAGCCTGATTTAACCTCTCGACTCGATGCATTATTATAATTTATAACACGTGACCAGCTGTCATGAGCTCGACAGAACGAAAATGTTGTTTAATTGTATGTATTTTAAAATAGTCGAAACGTTGATTCTTCTAGACCACTAATCAACGATTTGGGGAACGTGAGCTTATAATAAAGTTAGAGAAATAATACATCTCCTATTGTTAGGTTTATAATTTTTTTATGTTTTTATTAAATAGAAAAAAATTAATAAAATTGGTTGTGTTTCAAAATAATTTATGATAATGTTACATACAAAAATATTCAAATTTTAGATTATTTTAAATATTATAGCGGTATGTATACAAATTAATTTTTTAAATACACACACATATATATATATATATATTACATATT